TAATTTCCTAATGATGCTATGTCTAACGTCTAAATATTTGGACTTCTTATTATATACTTGGTTATGTATCTTGGCTAAAGTGGTTGTGCACCTAGTCCAAAATGAAATCTCAATACCAATGGTGTATTTGGTTGTGGAAAATTGTTTTTATTTTTTAAGAAAATTGTTTTCATTTTCTAAGAAAATGTTTTCAGAAAATAGAGTTGAGTTTTCAATAAAAACTTTAGAAAACGTAGGTGGAGTTTTCATTTTCCGTCTTAGAATTTTGGAAAATTTTGAAAAACTATAAAAATCACTTTTCTAATTTATACACAATCTGGAAAACTGAAAATTTTTATTTTCATAGAAAAATTTGGAAAATTGAACGAATCAAATGAGTTTTCAAAATTTTCGGTTTTTCTCGAAAGATTTTCCTAGAAAACTGAAAAAAATTTCACAGCCAAACACACCTTAAGTCCTTTCTTAATTTTTTTTTTCATTTTATTTGTAATAACTAACACAATAAACTCATATTCCATTGTTGAAGTGGTGATCCAAGTTTTTGTCTTGGAGCATCTACCACTGTAACGAGCTATGCCCCTTGACCCAATCCTTTGTAGTGTGTGGGACTTATACACTTCATGCTACCAAGTACCAAACTTGAATTATATCACACATTGATCTCTTTTGACACCCATATAAATTCAATCACACTAAAATGAAATGTGACACCACTTGCACAAACATACACAAACAATGAGTAGAAAACAACAATAAATATATCACAACGTCCTTCCATCCATGTTCATCACTCATGACTCATATTGTAACATTACAAACCAACGCACTAAACGCTACAAATAAGCTTTATATAAATTTTAAATCATGACGAAAATTATTAATAACCAAGATTCTAAGGCTTACAAATACAACCTAGTCAGTTTTCAAATTTAGGCCCACATGAATACTGAATACATGCTTCCTAATACGGTTCTGAACTCCAGATCTAATTACAGCCCAAGAAAACTACCGATTACTATTTTATATTTAAGAAATGTTTTTTTTTTTTTTTTTTTTTTTTTTTTTTTTTAATTACTAAACAAAACCTTCTCTTGTCATGAAATTCATTTTTCGTTCTTGTTGCATCAAAAACTTCTTTAGGCTAGACGGTATGGATGTTGGCAATTACCTCGTCGAACTCGGCAAACACTGTGTCTACCCCTCAGCTTGCCGAGCTCAACTCGGTAACTCGGCTAGCTTTCAACGAGGAGAGAGGTTGTATTGGGTTACGAAAATGTGAACGTTGGGAGGAGTTTGTTACCGTTTTTTTTCTTTAAATTCAATTTTTATCTTGTATAAATATCATTCTTTTTCATATTTTATACCACTTCACCATCTTCAAATTATCACGCAAAGAATTCAAGTTTTTTGAAAAAAAATAGCTTCCTATTCCAACCCAGAAACTCAAAAAAATACCAAGCGAAACACTCAAAACCCAAACGTCTCACCTTCTTCACCAACTTTCATTCGAAATCAATGCGATCGACCTATTTATTCTCCACAACATCTACATTTTGGTGGTGTTTACTATCCATTTCAAGTCCAAAATCAACATCAATACCAAAATCAAGCACACAATACCAAAATCAATATCAATTCCAAAAACAACCACAATTTCAAAGACAGTTTCAGTTTCAAAACCAACCACAAATGAACTTCTCATCCTAAATGATGCATGAGTTCAATCTATTTGATGATCTTTTTTACTCCCTAATGAACCACCAAACCGAATTTCAAACTGAAGCAGAAGACGAATTTGTTTCAGAAACAGAATTTGAGCCGAAAGAGAATCCACCACAACCAAAAAAATTTGAAGGGCGCCTACAAAGCAATGGACATTTGCCGGAGAAAAGATGTTAGCACGTGCTTGGGTGAATGTTTCTGAAGATCCAGTGGTTGGAAACAACCAAGATTATCCAATTTTCTTTCGGAAAATCACGCATTGGTTTCTCAACTAGATGAAACTTGGTGATTACCGGAAAAAAGACCAAATTTAGCAACATGTTAACAAAATGGTGACAGAGTTCAATGGGTTGTTTTCGAGCATGAAACGACAATAACAAAGTGGTGCAAACAACGAAACCATTTTGCAAAAATCTCTTAATATGTATCGGGAACAACAAGGGGCGCCATTCAAATTTTTACATGTTTGAAACATTGTAAAATTGTCAAAAAATATTGCAGGATGCTACATCTTTTGAAACTTTTATGGGTGGTTTGTTTAAAAAAATCAAAACGTCTAAAACGACACATAATCAACCGTCTGATGCGCATATCATAATTGATCTCAATGAAAATGAGTATTTTTAGGTTTCAAGGGTCATTCATCCTATGAGAAGAGACAATATCAAGTGAAAGGGGAAAGCGGCAACAACTACTTCTGAAGACATCGATAAACTAACTACAAAAATGGACATTTTGAAATCTTCCTTGGAGTGATACTTGGACTTTGCACAAGAGAAATTAAAAACTCGTGTCATGTCCATTTAACGAGACCAACAAACGAGCTATCCACACACGAACGGGAAATAACTTTAAAAGCCAAAAAGAAGCTTGCAAAAAATATAACATCTGGTTTAGCTTTACTAATTTTATTGTCTTTTTTTTTTTTTTTTTTTTTTTTAATGTTTTGAAATTCATAGGTTTGTAATTTGAATTTCTCTTTTTTTTATATGTTGTATTTTTATTTGAAGTTTAATGAATTTGAAGTTTTTTTTTAAAAAATTCTATGTTTAAATTATTTATTTTGTATATTAAAAAAATAACATATCTACTATGGCAACCCGTACCTAGCAAATGATACGTTTTGGTAAAAATAGAGCAAATATGATGTGATATCTACTTGAACCGTAACAAATGTGACTCTACACCCACTAGTCTTATATTTTCAAAATTATAAAACATAAATTTGGATTATATTTAATTTGTTTTGAAGTTGTCAAGCTTTTCCAAGTCACGTCCAACTACTACAAAATCCATAAAAAAGAATCCAAAAAAGTAATTCAAATTTAGACGACAATGACACATGGTTCATTACTTCATTTATTATTATTTTAAATCGGCTAAACTAACATAAACTAACAAAAAAATGACATTAATATATGATCAATCAAAATTCAAAATTGCTTCGAGGGTCTATAATTCCCTCAGTACTTCCAATATACATACATTATTGCATTTTTTTGAACAACGATCAAGAAGATCTTAAAAAATTGAAGCATTTACGTATAGAAGTTTTCAAATAAAATTTACGTATTCTATAAAAATATTTGGGTAAATGGCATAAAAAACACTTTTTTACACATAAATTTGATTTTGACACCGTGTTTTTTTTTTGTGTCAATTTTGACACTATGTTTTCCAATTTGTTACAATTCTGACCACTTGACCGGTTAACTAGGTTACATGCTGATGTGGCATGATGACATGTCAGTTTTTGATGACGTGGCATGCTGACATTATATGCTGACGTGTCAAAATTGATTTTTTTTCGATAAAAAACACTAAATTTTCACTTTTTTTTTTTTCGATTTTGACACTAAGTTTAATTTTTTATTTCAATTTTGACACTATGTTTTTTTGTTACAATCGAACATCATTTATCAAATTTTGTTCAATTTTATCTATTTTCCATTTGAAACCGTATAAATATATTTTTATATTACATTTTAAACCGTATAAACATATTTTTTTCATTTAACGCGAAAATCAATCCATATATTTGGAATCAACAAATATTCATAATTTAATTGACCAGATTAATTTATTGGTATATAGCCAAAAATTAATGGCGAGGGCTTAGGAGTGCAATTTTTCAATACTTAATTTGTGTATATTTTATAAATCATCTTTTTTTAAAAAAAAAAAAATTGGGCATTAAGTAAAGAACTGGTAAATTAATATTCAAAGTTCTAGGTTGATTACTCAACTAACCAACTAACCATCTCTTTATACTAATACAAGTTAAAACTTTAATTAAATAGGATACATAACTAATACGAATACGTAATCTAAAAATAAATACCAAAAGAATAATGATCTATACATAATATTTTTTAACCATACACTACAATTTATGCTTTATATAATTATATAGTATAACCATCTAATGCATATTGTTATGTATGGTTAAAAAGTGTTGTATACAAATCCCTACCCATACCAAAAGTGTTTCCTGTTAGTAGGTTGTATTAGGTTTCCAACAATTCAACTTCAAAGGTGTCCAATTCAATTTCATTTCAATATCAAAGACAAAATTGCACAAATGGTCTCTATGGTTTGTTGAAAATTACCAATTCTCCAAAAATGTTTGGATTAGTACCATAGGTCCAAAGTTTTTAATTTGTTACGAGTTTGGTCTAAAAGGTTAACCTGTGTCTGTTCCCCATCATTAAGGTTTGTTTGACTTGTCAAATTCGGGGTATTTTGGTCATTCCTTATTTATTCCACTTTATTTTATATTAATAAATGAGAGTACGTATGTAATTAGCGTCATATGGATAATATCGAGACTCATTTGCATGTATGCTCCTTAATAACTGTTAGTCGATTCAATTTCCCTCGTCATTGACTGAGGATCATGAACCCTAATTTGATTACCAAGGTTGGGAGTTTTGATTAGGCGAGTTTCGTAGTGAATGCATACACTAATGTGGTACTTAAGGTTGGCAAACAGATCATTCAGCCTAAGGGTTGGTATATGGTACACAGTTTTGTTTTTGCTCATTTACTTGCTCTTTTTTTTTTTTTTTTTTTTTTTTTTTTTTTTTTTTTTTGTGAAATCATCCCTTTTGAAATTTGTTTTTGATCTTGTCTTGAAGATGGACACCCTATATTGTTTACCATAAAGCTACATCATGGAGGTGAGTTCACAAAGTTTCCAGATGTCAACTACATTGATGGTATTGTGTCATATGTTTATATGGTGGATATAGAAGAGTTTTCAATTTTCAGTTCACGACATGGATGCCATTATGAAAGGGTTAGGATACTCAGTTCCTCCAGTTATCTACTATCATTTTCAAGTGCCTAAGGGAGACATGTATTTGGGATTACGGGCCCTAAGAAATGATGATGATGTTGCCAATCTTGCCAAATATGTGAAGGATCATAAACTGATAAGGGTTTACACTAAACATGGTATAACTAACTTGCTTACTTACTTTATGGATCCTAAGCCTGTAAAAACAAGGTATTATAGAGGAATTAACTAAAATTAAGGAACATGACCCCCCCCCCCAAAAAAAAAAAATTAAAAAAAAACTGATAACCAACCCAGTGGTATGCCACAAAGATGCATATCCCCTATTATACATAATTGTATGTCAACATCACCAACAAAAGATGGAATTGTAGACAATGAAGTTGCTTTAGGTGTTGATTGTTTTTTGTCCGCAGATCTTCTTGACCTCTTTTGTTTGCGCCGTGCAGACCATGCGCATACATTAGCATTTTCAGACTGTTTTTTTTTTTTTTTGAAGATTGCAGACCTAAAAATGTCTGCCCGCCCTCTTCTTAGCGCAAATGTGGATCAGAATCTTCTAACATCTTCAGACATCTTCTAGCCTAAAAAAAATACATATATCTTTATTTTTTTTAGTTTTTTTTTTAATTTATATTTATTTCAACTTTATTAATGATAAACAATCTGGAAAAAAAAGTTACTGTAGCACCTGGTTTCTGGTATGTAAATCTTATTCGAACATTTCCCATTTTAGTCTTGGACTCGGCGAGTCATAGGTCCAACTCGCCGAGTAGAGACGCGATCCAGGTCACGTTTTAAGTTGGCGAGTCCATATCCTAGACTCGGCGAGTCGCCGCTGTTGGATGAAACCCTAAGTTTCAGGGGTTTGCACCCTATTTAAACGACTTAACTGCCCCAAGCCAGCCCCCATTCACCCTTAGAGCCCTGTATACCTCGTCCTAATCCATTCCTTGAGAGTTTGAGACTTTTGTGTTTTTGAGACTTTATATAATTATATAGTATAACCATCTAATGCATATATTGTTATGTATGGTTAAAAAGTGTTGTATACAAATCCCTACCCATACCAAAAGTGTTTCCTGTTAGTAGGTTGTAGTAGGTTTCCAACAATTCAACTTCAAAGGTGTCCAATTCAATTTCATTTCAATATCAAAGACAAAATTGCACAAATGGTCTCTATGGTTTGTTGAAAATTACCAATTCTCCAAAAATGTTTGGATTAGTACCATAGGTCCAAAGTTTTTAATTTGTTACGAGTTTGGTCTAAAAGGTTAACCTGTGTCTGTTCCCCATCATTAAGGTTTGTTTGACTTGTCAAATTCGGGGTATTTTGGTCATTCCTTATTTATTCCACTTTATTTTATATTAATAAATGAGAGTACGTATGTAATTAGCGTCATATGGATAATATCGAGACTCATTTGCATGTATGCTCCTTAATAACTGTTAGTCGATTCAATTTCCCTCGTCATTGACTGAGGATCATGAACCCTAATTTGATTACCAAGGTTGGGAGTTTTGATTAGGCGAGTTTCGTAGTGAATGCATACACTAATGTGGTACTTAAGGTTGGCAAACAGATCATTCAGCCTAAGGGTTGGTATATGGTACACAGTTTTGTTTTTGCTCATTTACTTGCTTTTTTTTTTTTTTTTTTTTTTTTTTTTTTTTTTTTTTTGTGAAATCATCCCTTTTGAAATTTGTTTTTGATCTTGTCTTGAAGATGGACACCCTATATTGTTTACCATAAAGCTACATCATGGAGGTGAGTTCACAAAGTTTCCAGATGTCAACTACATTGATGGTATTGTGTCATATGTTTATATGGTGGATATAGAAGAGTTTTCAATTTTCAGTTCACGACATGGATGCCATTATGAAAGGGTTAGGATACTCAGTTCCTCCAGTTATCTACTATCATTTTCGAGTGCCTAAGGGAGACATGTATTTGGGATTACGGGCCCTAAGAAATGATGATGATGTTGCCAATCTTGCCAAATATGTGAAGGATCATAAACTGATAAGGGTTTTGCACTAAACATGGTATAACTAACTTGCTTACTTACTTTATGGATCCTAAGCCTGTAAAAACAAGGTATTATAGAGGAATTAACTAAAATTAAGGAACATGACCCCCCCCCCCCCCCCAAAAAAAAAAATTAAAAAATTTAAAAAAAACTGATAACCAACCCAGTGGTATGCCACAAAGATGCATATCCCCTGTTATACATAATTGTATGTCAACATCACCAACAAAAGATGGAATTGTAGACAATGAAGTTGCTTTAGGTGTTGATTGTTTTTTGTCCGCAGATCTTCTTGACCTCTTTTGTTTGCGCCGCGCAGACCATGCGCATACATTAGCATTTTCAGACTGTTTTTTTTTTTTTTGAAGATTGCAGACCTAAAAATGTCTGCCCGCCCTCTTCTTAGCGCAAATGTGGATCAGAATCTTCTAACATCTTCAGACATCTTCTAGCCTAAAAAAAATACATATATCTTTATTTTTTTTAGTTTTTTTTTTAATTTATATTTATTTCAACTTTATTAATGATAAACAATCTGGAAAAAAAAGTTACTGTAGCACCTGGTTTCTGGTATGTAAATCTTATTCGAACATTTCCCATTTTAGCCTTGGACTCGGCGAGTCATAGGTCCGACTCGCCGAGTAGAGACGCGATCCAGGTCACGTTTTAAGTTGGCGAGTCCATATCCTAGACTCGGCGAGTCGCCGCTGTTGGATGAAACCCTAAGTTTCAGGGGTTTGCACCTTATTTAAACGACTTAACTGCCCCAAGCCAACCCCCATTCACCCTTAGATCCCTGTATACCTCGTCCTAAGCCATTCCTTGAGAGTTTGAGACTTTTGTGGGTGTTTTTGAAGGTTTTGAAGGAGGAAAGAAGTAGATCCAGAAGAAGGAAAGCCAACCAAGCAACTATTGTGTTCTTCCAGCAGTTCCTTTGAGGTATAACTCGTTTTCCCCATGATTCTATGCTTAAAACTTCATTTGGGTCTTTCTTGGTCAAGTCCCCAAGCTCGTATGTGCCTTATATGTCGTATTATGACGTTTGGCCTCTGGATCTAGGCAAGATTGAGCTCCAGGAGCTCAGATCTGTTAGCTTTATGGCCCCATGTTGCTTGTTAGCCCTAGATCTACCCTTTTAAGGCATTTTGAGCCCTAAAATCCATATTGGTGAATATCCACACGTAAAGTTGGAAACTTTACGTGTGATTTGTGTCCTAGAAGTCCAGATCTATGAATGGCATGGACTGAAATCGAGCAAATCGGTGTATTTGGTGGATGCATGGCGGCGACTCGGCGAGTCTGGTCGCGAGTCACCGATTTGGTCCCTTCATGATGTGTCGAGTTGAGCCGTGAGTCACAGGGGGTGACTCGGTGAGTTGGGAGCTGAACTCACCCATGTTAGGACTCGGCGAGTCAATGCCCTGACTCGGCGAGTCCAAGGCAATCTTCATAGATCAAGAACAGACTCGGCGAGTTGTTCATACAACTCGGCGAGTCTTAGCATATGTGTTCTTCGGATGAAGATGAACTCGACGAGTTGTTCATACAACTCGGCGAGTAGGATGAAGGAGTTGAATGTCAGTTTAGAAGATGAACTCGTCGAGTCATAGCCCAACTCGACGAGTAGAATCAGGGACCCAGGACAATTGTCTGGACAGGGACTCGCGAGTGGAGATCCACTCGGCGAGTCGGGTCAACTAAAAGTTGACTTCGAATTGACTTAGGGCTAGACCAGGGGAAAAATGGTCTTTTTACCCAAAGGACAGTTAGCAGTGTATGATTAAGTATATTGTGGGAATTACAGCCGGGGAGTTTCCGGAGCAGCAGCAGCAGTAGTAGGTGATCAATTCCCACACAGACCAGCAGCTATTTCGAGGTGAGTTTCCTTCCAGTAGTAACGGGTCTAAGGCACCAAGGCCGGCCCGTATAGACGAGACGTTAGTATTAGAGTGTGGGCCGAGCCCGTATCTCTTAGTTGAGTTGATTATGATATATGCCAGTATGATAGAATTGTTTACACTTGTTGTCTGTGCGATACTTGTATGATATGAGTTGGCGGTTGAGTGTGGGCGAGGCCCGTATCTCTCCGAGAATGGAGTGTGGGCTAGGCCCGTATCTCCCAGATAGCGAAGTGTGGGCGGGGCCCGTATCTCTCAGAAAGCGAAGTGTGGGCGGGGCCCGTATCTTCACGAGTGTGGGCGTGGCCCGTATCTCCTAATTGCATGTTGTTTGTTAAATGCTTGCATGGTATGGGGTATTATGGGGGAGCTCACTAAGCTTTGTGCTTACGGTTTCAGTTTTGGTTTCAGGTACCTCCTCAGCTAGGGGAAAGGAGCCGGCGCGGTAGCAGCATGTCACACACACACACACTCTTCGGTTTCCGCATTTACGAGCTTTTCTGGGATTGATACTCTGATATTCTGATTAGTTGTATGTTTTGGTTTTCAGACATGGTTCAGTTTATATTATGGATGATCGAATGATGTTTTAGTTATTAATATTTTCTAAAGTAACGTTTTTAAACAAAAAAAATTTTGATGTGAAAATTGGGTCGTTACAGTTAGAATACTTTAAAAAAAGTTCAACGACACAAACATGATATTTTTGACAAATTTATAAATAAACATTTATTATAATAATGGTCGTTGAAGTTGTTTAAATAAATATGAACAAAAAAATTATAATATATTGTTATATATTTTGTGCCAAATTTTATAAAAACATTATTTAATACAGTATCGTCAGTTTCTTGAGAAAATATTTATGATACGTTTTTAATTGATTTAATTGAAAAAACGAAGTTTATTTCCATGTATCTATGTATCAAATTCTTTGATTCTTAATTACAATGTTTAGGTATAACTTTGCAACCAAAATTGTTGGTTTTTATCAAATATATACGTTAATTTGTACCATATTTTCACTTTTTATACAATAATACATAAAAATTAATCTAGATTTGTTAATTATTTACAAGAAAGCCATAAAAATATTTAAAAAATCACTTTGAAGATTAAAAAAAATCAGTTTCTTTATATTTTAATTTATTTTAGTAGCATGAAGATGTTAAAAAAACAATTTGTCTTCTTTTTTCAGACTGCAGACGTTTGATCCATCTATTCTATCGCAGAGCTCTACAGATATGATCTGCATACATTTTGTCACAGAAAAAACAAACAATACCTTAGTCTTGTCAATATCACCTGAGTATAATACAAAAAGGGATTGGATCAAGGGCAAAGCATTGTCATCATGTAGTAAGAAATTAGCCATGGATGATGTTAGTGTTCTTAGGAGTGCAAGGTATAAGGATGATGCACCTGATGATACTAATAATTGATTTAATGAATTTGATGTGGGAGAAAATGAATTTAATCTTGGTTTGTACCAAAATATTTTATAGTCTAATTCTACAGTGAATATGGAAGTCAATGAAGAGAATAAAGTTCATGGAGGGGGATAATTCAATGAAATGTATGAATTCAATGAAGAGAATAAATTTCGTGGAGAGGAAGAATTCAATGAAATAAATTAATTTAAGGAAGAGAATGTAGATGATAAGGTCAATGAAGGCGAGGACAATGTAGACATGAGGGATTATGAAGTCGATGTGTAACGTCTCATAAACTCAAGGTAAAAATTTCATTTTAAAAGAACGAAAAACCGACATCCATTCATTTCAAATAAAAGATAATCAGAGTATGATAATGTGTACTCAACATCAATGATAAATCAAAAGATAGTGCATAATAAAACTCTGGGATGTGAATGTGATCATGTCGAGCTCTTCCCTTTTGAATAGGAAGTATCTGAAACATTTAAACACAAAACAGTAAACACAAAGCGTAGTGAGTTCCCCCAAAATACCATATATCAAACAAGAATGGACCTAACCCAACATACATGCTTTGGGCCCGACCCACCCATTCGGTCCCAACCCAAATAATTGGGCCCATCCTATATAATTGGATCTAACCCATATAATTGGGCCTATTCCATATAATCGGGCCTAACCCATATAATCAGTCCCAATCCATATAAAACATATATACACATGCAAGAGTCACACAGACAGTCTAACATCCTATAGTACATTGAGAAGACTCACATTGAAACGCAGCTCAACAATCAAAACAAGCTCTTAAACTCTTGGCACCGGTGCTAAACACCACTTATATAACCACACAAGGAACACCCTTAGTTTTCCCCCCTTCTAAAACTAGTAAATTGACTAAAAGTCCACAAGTCAAAAGTTAACCCTTAAAGTCAATGATGGAAATCAAAGTCAATATCAGTCGACCTTCGCATCGTGGCTATCCTTTGGCCATGTCGTGGCCCACGTGTAACGATCGTGTTTCCTGCTAGACAATTAATAAGATGATATAATAGTTAGAGTCAACAATTGTAATCTATTCAATATAATAATAAAAAAATTGTGAAGACTACGTGTTCTATGTGTAGATATTTGTAGGATACGTGCTTATAGCAATATAATATAATAAGAATAAAATATATGTCTAAATAGAATAATAAGTAGGATGAATATCCTTGACTAAAGTTGAAGTATTCGTGACAAGGATTCTGTAGATATAAGGAATGCATAAATTCGACTTATAACCAAGGAGTTATGATCCGTTGAAGTTTTGTTATTCGACCCGATAGAACAATGCACGTCATACAAAGTAAATTTTTGTTAGGTTAGGTTTTAGCCATAGTGATCTAACCAAAAGTCTTAGTAGTCATTAAACCAAGAGCGTACATATAAAGAACGTCAAAATCTGACTTCATTAGAAGAAGTTATGATTTTTCTAAGATTGAGCATATCAATATACAACTTAGAAATTAAATTTTAGATCAATTGATTTTTAGCCAAAACAATATAAACAATAATTGAATATCTCATTAATAGGAGTCCGTCAATATAAAGACAGTCGAGAACAAACGTCGGACGAGAAAGTTATGAATTTTTAATTGACTTTAGCAGTCTAAGCCTACTAAAAATATAAATTTA